GGCCTACCTCCATGTCTGCACAACAGAGGCATTCTAGAATGAACGTCCTCAGATGATCTGGCATTCCTAGGTTGGTTCCTGGAAGCAGAGAGGAGTGTGTGTGTGTGTGTGTGTGTGTGTGTGTGTGTGTGTTTGCACGTGCGTGTGCCTGCAGAGTCTCACATAGACCTTGGGGCATGGAACATAGTTAGCTTCTGCCACATCACGAAGGAGAAGCAAAGCCACCATTCGTCACCTGTTCTGGAAAGAGGTCACTAAATCACAAAATCCCCGTTATCCCTGGGGGGTATATTCTCTGGCTGTGCCTGTCTCTTCCCGTGAGTGCACTTGTATCTGAGTGTATCGGAGCTTACCACCCACATCTTCAGCATTTTACCTGTGTTTGTCTCTTTCAGGGTTTTCCTTCGTATGCCGTTCCCTTAAGCGTCGTTGTCCTTCAGAGCTTAGCTTGGTACTTCTGTTCCGCTCTATCAAGACCTTTCACTGGTTAGTGAATCCATATAGTTGTCAGCATGTCCATTACTTAAGCACTTGATCTTAGCAAAAGCCCAAGAAACAATGGGCTGTGCCTTGGAAGCCTAAACCTCACCTCAGTCTGGCTCTTGATCTGTATCTAGTGTCTTTCAAACACACCCATTTGGCTGATACATATTCATCTCTCTTTTAAAACCTTTAATGATGGTACAGTCCTTCAATTCCAGCACTAAGGAAGTAGAGACAGGTGGATCTTTGTAAGCCAGCCTAGTCTAGATAGTGACTAGACCAGCCTGGGCTACATAATAAGGCCCTGTCTCAAAAACAAACAAGCAAACAAACAAACAACCTCATCAACCTGCTCTCACATACTCTTATCATAACTTCATATGACCTTGTCACACTTCCAGTATTTCTTCTCCAGATATGCAGGTTAAAGGGGAGTGCAACAGGAGTGAAGATTCTTAAAGCTAGTTAAGACATGATCTGGGAAGTCTGGCCCAGGCACAGAGAACCAGAACCAAGCAGAGAAGCTGAGAACAGAAAACAAATGACATCTCCTGAGCCAAGTACAAATTTCTTAATAGAACCTTCACGATCCTCCTTGACCTAGTTCCTTGTATTCCTTCTCTACTTTCCCAGGATCCTCTCTACCTCCCTTTCTCGGCCCTTACAGCCACAGTTTTGTCCCTGATTGAGCATGTCTCGTGTGGGTACACATCTGACTTCATCTTTCAAGAGTGTTGCGTCCATTGCTGTTTGTTTTCTTCTTCTGAGTAAGCCCCACCTTCTTCTACTGTGACAGGCACAGTGAGTCACTCGGAAGTCCTCTTTATGTCACTTGTAAATACAGTCACACCTCCATTATTATTATCATTCTTTTTTCTTGAGGCTGCGTTGACTATACTGGTCTTGACTTTGTGGGCTCAAGTCATCTTCCACATCAGTTTCCTGAGCATCTGGGACTACAGGTATTTGACACCACCTCAATTACTTCACACCTCAATTACTTCAGTGCCATGCGACCTGTTTGCTTACTTAACTGCTTGTGAACTCCATGAACCCAGGGGCTGATTTTTGCTCAATATTTATAACCCTGGTAGCTAAAGCGAGAGCCAATGTATATGCAGGTACACTTCATACATTTGTTGGTGGAGTCAATCAGTGAAGGGCAAGTACAGAGAAAATGACAGTGCCGTGTGAGAAGGACCAGAGGACAAGTCATTTTGGGGACAGAAAAGAAGGGATGTCGATTTTCATTAAGTCCTACTCTACCCCCTGCTGTCTGGAATATAAAACCAAGAAAGCCTAAAACAACCCTCCTAAAAAACCAAGGAAAAATTTAAAAATTGAATTAAAAATATACCCATAGGAATAAAATTAGGGTAAGTTCTTTCTCATAGGGAAAGCGGTTTTCAGCGTCTTCATCAATCAAGGCTTAGCAGTATTTAACTGAAGAGAATCAATTACTACCTGTAGAGATGTAGAGTAATCAAACCGCTGCTAATGTCTGGTTCCCTTTTCCCTCTTGGAGTTATGGAATCCACAATAAAATGTAATGCTCACTGAACAGTGAAGGAGGTTTTTGTTCTTGGCTGAGAATAGAAATGGAAGATAAATTTGCAAAGTAGCTGCTCTAAAGGCTAGCGTCAGGAAGTTATAGCCATCAGTGAAGGCAGCAAGGGCGGGATGGGCCAATGAAGGACAGAGAGCCCTGTCTTTTCTGGGGATGGATAGGGATTTTCCAGGATTTCAGATGCCCCTATTTTTTTGTTCCCTTTCTGGTTCTCTTTGGTCACCTGTCATGGTGTTGAGAGGTGTCATTTAGCACATAGTTACAGGACTGTAAGGAAGTTGGAAGTCACGGGGCAGTCACTGTGGTATCCATCTTAGACCTGACTGGTTACTTGGCCACCTGAAGAGGGATGTCAGGCACCTTGTCTTCAGAGATAAGATTAGGGCAGGGCAGAAATTCTGTTAGTTCAAGTAGACAGAGTGAGGTGAAGATTAGGTAACACCATCAGTGTTTGGTCCAGAGGCACACTGCCAAAGGCTTGAGGTTTTGGGAAAATGGCCTAGAGTTAGACAGGGAGAAGCACAGCTTCTAGAAATGGACCTTGTCCATGTTCTCCTTCCATCCTGACAGGCCTCTGACTATGAGCTAAACTCAACTGGAAGGGGCGGGGGTTCCTGGTGATCACTGTCCTTAAGTCCCAGAGCAGAAAGGACCAAGGGTGGACCTGGGCTGGGTATGCTGGCACATACCTTTAATCTCAACAGTTGGGAGGCAGAGGCAGCAGATCTCTGAGAGTTCAAAGCCAGCCTGGTTTATACAGAGTTCCAGGCCATCCAAGTATACACTGAGACTCTGTCTCAATGAAACAAAACAACAACACACAGCTCTGAATGGATAGGAGGATGGACTTAGGGACAGTATGGAGGAGAGATGTTTTGGTTTTGTGGGCCACCTATTTTGCCCACTGGCAGAAAAATCCTGTGAATGACATTTCTAGACCTTATGTCTTTGTATACTTGGGTATTTGTATATGAGGCTTATGAAAATTGATGAATTAGTAGGACTAAGGTAGACAATGACATGTTTTTAAAAGACGTCTCAAGTAATTTCGGTTGGCCCCAGTTATGAGAACAACTAATAAGGTTTATTCTCAGGGGCTGGAGGGATGGCACATACCTTTCTTGCAGAGGACCACATTCTGTTCCCAGCATCCATTTCAGGCAACTGACAGATGCCTGAAACATACCTCCATGCAGTTCCAACTCTGACCTCAACTACACCTCCCCCCCTGGAAGAGAAATCCCTTAAAGCTTCACATTTTCATTTTTATAGTTAGACAAACTGGGGTTCAGAGAAACTAAAATGCCCTGATTTGAGTACTCCCTTGGGTGACATGAAGGTTTGACCCAAAACTGGAACATATGTGATGATTTTATAATCTGTTGATGGGAAACTGAGGCTCCAAAGATGGAGTGGCGTATGCCCAAATACACCACCAGCAAGTCCTAGGTGAGGAGGAACCAAGTCTGTATTGCTTTTAGTTCAGTGTTCTTTCCCGGCGACACATAAGAGTGTATCACAAAGCCTTGGTGGCAGCCATTCCCACTTCTCACTCAGGTAAGACAGGTGCTCTCCTTGAAGCTCTTAACCCATGAATGTGCCTAGAGATGAGGTGTGTGACTTCCCTCTCTCAAACCTTGACTCTCACCTTTTTTGGGCTCCATTTGGAATTTTAGGTTGTCAATACTGTCATCAGGAAAAGGGCTGTCCCTCTCTGAGGGAATGTCAGGTCAGTAGCCTAGGGATTAGGGATATCTGAGGAAGGCCTCGGGGAGAGGATCACTGGAGAGTTCCCCAAGCCTCTCTCCCTGGCTGGGGTCCAGTACAGGGCCCTGTATTCCCATCTCAGGGCATGGCCAGTGTTTCTCCCTTCCCAACAGCTGACACCACAGCTAAAGCTCTGTGTGTAACCCAGACCACGTACCCATCCTTTGAGATGTATTTGGAAACCTCTGCTTCCATGAAGCCTGCTGGATAGACTTGTATTTCCTGAAACCAGCAACCTTAGCCCTTCCTCATCCTACACAACGTGTCTAGATTGGGCAGAATCTCAGAGGTCACCCATTCATTTTCACAGATGAGGAAATCTAGGTCAGAGAAGGCAAAGGCCATGTTAGTAGCAAACAGAGCTTCACTGTAGTCCATTCGACTCCTTGGCAGCCCACCCAGTTCTGAACACATATCTCTAAACATGCTCCAGCCCACCAGCCTTATAACCATTTACCCCGTACTTCAGGGAGTTGGTTCACACTTCGCGTCCTTAGGCAAGCTTTGCTCCTGTGGAGTCACCGTCGTTGCAGCCGTGAGGGCGTGTGACTAAGGAAACCCAGCGCCTGTACTTAAGTTTCCCCGTTGATGCCATGGGTCCGCACACAGGCTGCTGCTTGCTTTCACCCATGGCTTTGGTGAGAGGACGGTGGTCAGCCCATCGTTCCCTTTCTATAGCTTTATTCATTCAGTGCTCAAGGGTCCAAGTGCGCTTAATGCAATTCTATGAAGCAATAAAAAAACTACGATTCTGTGTCGTTTATGTACATTGTGTGCCTGGAACACTACCCTCCGCTGGGACCTGTGACTACACTGTCAGAGCCGTGTCTTACAGGAATTGCGTCTGACTAGACTGAGAATCTGGCTTTGCTCTTTGCTCCGGAGTTAAGAGAAGGTGCATCCCGCGATGCTCCAGCGGGCAGAGTCGGCTCTCAGCCTCGCCGGCTCCCCAACCTTGGGGGTCGCGGTCACGTTCCGGAAAGCCCTGGCACGCCCCCCGAAGGGGCGTGGTCTGGAGCCCCGCCCCCGCCCGGGTGGGAGGACCTCCTTTTCGGCGGAGAAACGGAGGGAGCCTGGCGGGCGCCGCCGGCCGCGCCCCGCCCCGCCGAGGCTGCGGTCCTCTCATTGGCTGGGTCTGTGGTGACGTCCCGGGGTGCACAGACAGTACTCCGAGCGCCCGGCGCGCGGGAGGTATTGTGCTTCACCGGGCTTTGTTCACCTGGCCCTGGCTGCGTCCCGGCGGTGCCACCCGGAGCCGGTGCCCGCCGCCGCCGCCGCCGCCGCCGCCATGGTGTCTCCGGTCACTGTGGTGAGTGCGCGAGCCGCGGCCGGAGCCCCCCGGGCCTGGGGCGAGGCGGCGGCCGGCGCTGCCGCCGGGGGCGGAGGAAGCTGGCGGTCCCCGGCTCCCCACTCCCGCAGCGCCCCTCCTCCGCGCGCCCCCCGTCGCCTGCGGGAGGGAGGAAAACATTGTGCACGTGACTCGGAAGCGTGACTTTGTTGATCCTCGTGTGTCTGGAGCGGGTCTGCGGGTCTTGGCCTGGGACCGGACGCAGCGGGCCGCAGGGTTCTGCGTGGTGGGACCGCAGAGAAGCATTCAAGAGGGTGGGGCCCAGACCTCCTGGAAATCCTGCCGCAAGTTGGTTTCCTCTTCTTATTGTAGGCGCAGGAGGCGACGCCTCATTCTAAGCAACGCTGCTAAGGCGCTAGGTGAAGGTGGATCGCTCTATTGACTTGACCTCCTTTTCAGACTTTGTCAACGCCAACCTTTGGCTTGTCTCCCCCCCTTCTAAGGCTAGCTTCTCTGACTGTCATGATTTTACCACTTCCTACCAGTTTCTTTTAGGAAGCATTGGTCTGGGGATGAGGGGAGAGCAAAATTGATGTTTCTGAGGGCTGACAGGTGTTGCTGGGCATCCATCCCCTCGGCTCTCTTCCCTTTGGCCGTGCCCTCACTCTGACTGTCCGAGATAAGGGCGTTTCCTTGAGAAGGGAGTGTCAAGTCTTGCTCCCATCTCTAACTTGTGGAAGTACCCCGGACCCCTGTCTACCTCTTCCTACTCTTCCCCAGTTGCATCAGGTACCTGGTAGCCTGGGAATCTGAGTGTGCCCTCAGAGTCCCGGTGAAACAGCTTTCTCATACAGCCAGAGCACTTTAGGTGAAGGTGAGCTTATAGGGAACCCCAGCTGCTCCAGTTCATCCTCAGAAACCCTGAACTAGCAGTTCATGGGAAGGAGCTTCAGGAGGCCACAGAACATCTGTGGCATCTCCTCCCCCAGCTCGGGCTGTGCCTGCAGTGGCCTTGAGTAAAACCTTTCTTTAGCTGCCCTCCCCCTAATCCAGCTGAGACCCAGTCAGCTGTGCCAGCTTCCCCTCTCAGTTCCCCGTCGCCTCTCAGCCTGTCTGCTGGCTCCAGATCAGAAGCTGGGACCAGAAGCCCTCCCCCCCTTCCTGTCTTTGGTGCCAGCACCCCCTTTCCTAGCTCTGGAAATCTTTGGTGTCTCAAGTACTGTTTATTGCTCCCAACACAGATCTGTTTCTCTTCCCAGCATCCCTAGCACCTCTCTTTGTCCTTGTTGCCACCTTTAGTCTAACAGGTAGAGTGGAAGCTGAGGGGCTGCCTGGGCAGGACCGAGAGCCGGTGGGTGGAGGTGCTGCCACTCTCCCACATTCCTGGCACTCACCTGGTGTTGCCAGGGCTCTAAGCCTGAGTCCTGGCTCCAAAGCTGGGATCATGAGTTGGTCAGTCAGTGTGTTTCTGTGGTTTCCCTCTGACATTGCTCCAGTTCCACACAGCTGGGAGCTGAGGCTAACAGGGAGAGGTGCTAAGGGATCCCTCTAGGAGGGGGAGGAGAAAGCCCGGAAGGAACAGCACTAGGCTGCAAAAGGGAATATCCTAATAGTCACTGTTGTTCCAGTGAAGGACTCATTCTGGCCAAGTTCCAGGGCCTAGAGTGGACAAGAGTGACAGGACAGTGGAGCCCTTTCCTGTCCTGGTAAATTGAGCCTTGGGGTGATAATGGCTTTCTTCACGTCCTGCTGGCTGGTTGGAGCCGGAGAGGCTAGGTTTCTCTGTCAGTCCTCCCTGTTCTGAGTGGTGTAGGGCTGGAGTGTGCGCTGTAGCCTTGGGGAAAGGTGCAGGTTTTAGAGCCCGCCATGGGCTTCAGGGACTCAGCTGCTGGTGTTGCTCTTGTGCTGTCTCCTGCAGGTGAAGAGCGAGGGACCCAAGCTGGTGCCCTTCTTTAAGGCCACCTGCGTGTATTTTGTGCTCTGGCTGCCCGCATCCAGCCCATCGTGGGTCAGCGCCCTTGTCAAGTGCCTGCCCATCTTCTGCCTCTGGCTCTTCCTCCTGGCCCATGGCTTCAGGTTCCTGCTGGCCCACTCCAGTGCCTCCCTCATCTTTGTGGGACTTGTCTTCTCTGCCGTGGGTGACGCCTTCCTCATCTGGCAGGACCACGGCTACTTTGAACATGGTCAGTAGTTCTAGGAGTTGCCTGGGTGGGTGCCTGGGGCTGGAGGAAGAGGGTCCTGTGGTGGGGGTGGGGCAGGGCTTTGGAAAAAGGAACCCTCTCACTTTAAGTGAGAGGGTGAGTGTGAAACTGTCCCTTCGCCCGCCCCTCTCAGTCCCAGAGCAGAGCTGGGTTGCCCCTCCTCCCTTCATAAGTCATGAAGCCTGCCTTTAGCATTCTTTATGTCCTTTTGCTTCCAGGTCTCCTGATGTTTGCTGTGACACACATACTCTATGCCTCAGCCTTTGGCATGCGGCCACTGGCTCTCCGGACAGGTCTGGTGATTGGAGTGCTATCAGGCCTGTGTTATGCCCTACTCTACCCAGGGCTATATGGTGCCTTCACCTACCTGGTGGGGGTCTATGTAGCCCTTATCAGCTTCATGGGTTGGAGAGCTATGGCAGGGCTGCGGCTGGTTGGGGCAGCCTGGCGGTGGACAGAGCTGGCAGCCGGCAGTGGCGCACTGCTTTTCATCATCTCAGACCTGACCATCGCTCTCAACAAGTTCTGCTTTCCTGTGCCCTACTCTCGGGCACTCATCATGTCCACTTACTATGCTGCTCAGATGCTCATCGCCCTGTCAGCTGTGGAGAGCCGAGAGCCAGTGGAAGACTATAGACTGAGCAAGGCCAACTGAAGGGACTGGGGTGTGCTCACCTTTCTCCTGGGGCTTCGGTCCAGACCTTGGGAGTATGCCGGAGCTCTGTCGGCAGGCAGCTCCAGGGAAAGTGGCAGGCTTGAAGGGGTGAGCAGAAAGAGCTCCCAGGAAAGCTGGTAGGCTAGGATGACCCTGAGAGCTCAAAGAGGCACCTTATATTCCTTGCCTGAATCAGAAGTAGACACTCCTTACCCCGTCAGGACTGTCAAAGCCCTCCCGGAAGGTGATGGTGCTTTTTGACCCCTCTCTTTTTACTAGATGCAAGAATGTGACTATCTCTTACGACCAGGACCAATGGCAATGCCAGGCTCATCCGTTCCCACCCTTTCTCTTCCAAGCTGACCGAGGAGCAGTCCTTCCCCAGGCTCCCCATTTGGGAAGACTGGTTAAAGGTGGAGTCTTGTTTCCCCGTGGCTAGCCAGTTACTGCAGCAGGTTTTCAGCAGTGTCTATGAGGAGCTGTAGAGGGGACTTCTTGGTGTGGAAGCTTGAGGGCATCAAGGCTGCGGACTGACCCTCTTTCTCTCACAGGCCAGCCCGGAGCTCAGGCCTCATACCGTCACCCTCAGACTCTGTCCCCTGAGCTAGGGTGTACCATGCCAAAGGAAGGGGCTGGTCTCCACCTCTATGTCTGTGTCCTGCTGTCTGCAAATGGCTTAAAGGGGGTGGGCCTCAGAGAGCTCCTGAGGGGCCTGGCCCAGAGCGGGGCCTCCCCTCGCACACCGACAATGCTGTCTTCCTGCCCAGGAGTGAGTTCCAAGTGACACTTTAGGGTCTTAAGACCTGAAGCACAGTCAATGCAAGGGGAGTAAGGACGGGGTAACTCCGTTCTCTACTGCCCATGTGAAAAAATAAAATAAAATAAAAACCCAAGGGCCATGGCTTTCTAATTTGTCTGTCTGTGTGGCACGTGCCTGTCCTGGACAGGGGGTCAAGGCATGGTGCCAGGAGCCCTGGTTGTCCTCACAGCCCGGGTCAGAGTCGTCTTGGCTCAGGCACCTTGGCACCAGGCTGGCTCCCTGGCTGTGCTGATGCTTCTACTTGTTTCAGATCACTTGTGATCACTTCCGTGGTCAAGTGTGTGTGTGTGTGTGTGTGTAGTCAAGAGGGTGGGGGATGGGTGGTGTTTGCCATTGTCTGTACTTGTCCTTGACACAGTCCCCTGTATAAAGGTGTCTGGCAGTCCTGGTAACCCTGAGCTCTGCAGTGACTGGTGGAGGTCTTTCTCCACCTCCCCAGCCCTGCTCTCAGCCCCGAGCTGCTCCTTCTCCAAATGGTGCAGCCTCCTATGGTCTCCTCTTGGACTCTGGGTTTAGTTGGGCAGCTGAACGGAATGGGATTAGGTTAGCTGATAGTTTATTAGCGAAGCCTTGACGGAATATTGTTCTACCTTACTCCAGAGGTGTTCGGATTTGAACAGGGAGTGCCCCAGTTCTGTAGAAAGGGCCAGCAGTCAATATGCTGTTGGTATGTTTGCTGTACCTTTGGGGGATGTGATATAGGAGATTCAAACTTCCTGGGTGTTAACTGAATCTAGTAGTTTCCAATTTTTTTTTTCTTTTTAGTCCTGGGGATCAAACTCAAGTCATCTCACATGCTAAAATTATGTTCTACTATTGAACTGTTAAGCCAGACCCAAACTAAAGCTTTATAGAGACCTCTCATAGGGACAGAGAGCAAAGAAATATGGGGAACAGTGGAGCTCAGGGACTGTCTATCATGTCAAGCTTCTAGTTTAAAATCCTTCAAGAAAGTATTCTACTGTAAAACAGGCTTAAATCAGTAAGGCGGACAAGCGGCTCCTTCAGTGGGAGGGTGGCTGGGTACTGCGGGAGCAGGCCTGATTTTGTAAGGGCTAGAATGCTGAATGCGGACATAGATGGGGTGAAGGAATGAGAGGGGGCAGGATGGGGAGGAGGAGGCCAGCAGAATTTGTCCTGTGCTTGCTCTAAGGGGCGGTGAGGGTAAGTGTGGTTGTGAAGGAGGGAAAGCCCTGAGGTGACTTCCTGTGGGTAGGTGTGGAGCTGGTCCATTCCATGTGTGTCCTCCCCCATGGTTCCTGTAGCACTCCACTCTCGGGAGCGGGGAGGGTGAGCTCAGCCAGCTTCCTGTTCCTTACCTGCACAGCACACACACAGTGATACATACCGGAAGGCAGATGGCTGAAAAGACCCCCCTCCCCCCCATTGCAGCTGATGCCAATGTCTCTGGGCTGGAGCTTGAATGAGGTGCAGCCTTCTGAAGATTCTCAGTGGTCGATGCGATGCAATACTTGACTTGCCATCTTTGAAAGATCAAAGCAAATAGTTATTGGTGCTCACGAAAGATCTGAAGTTGCTGGAATTCGAGCTGCTCCATAGGGACTGAGAACTGGTCCCTGCGTCTCAAAAGCTGGAGTAGCTGTGTGGGGATCAGAAGCTGCCATCCAGTCACACTTGATATTTTCCAGGAACTGTTAGGTCCTTCTTCATAACCCAGTAGGTGAGGAACTAGGCTCAGAAAAGTGCCATCAGGGCCTTAATCCATGCTCCTAAAACCAACTAGAGTTACTCAGGGATCTCTGTTTGTAGAATGAACTCTCTTTTCCCATTCCCACCCTGCCCATGCTTTCCTGGCTTGGTTCTGTGTACAATGCAGCAGCCATTCTGGAAGCTTTGTCTTCTTACTGCCACTTACTTTAGCACTACAGAGACAGAGCAATGGGATGTTGTCTTTTCCCCCAAGAAAAGACACACCTAATTGGCTGAACAAAGATCTGTAGCTACGGAGACCACAACCATGGAGGGCTATCACCACAGAGAGTTTAGGCAGATAGAGAGGAAAATGCTGGAGAGACTGGGAGCAGGATGCCCGGGCCTGCTGGGATTTTAACACGAGGATTGGGAGAAGCTTGGAGGGACTGAGCAGCCAAGCATGGCGGGTTGGTTTTCTGTTTGGAGGGGCCATATATTCACCCCATGTATGTCTGCATCCAGCATTCTAAAGCTTAAATGAATCAGGCCCTGTCACCATGAAGGCAGTAGAGTGGATAAGAGGGGCTTAAGTATTTCTTTAAGCATGCACATTACAAGCAAAAGCACAGCAGGCATATGTGAGAGGTCCCCTTCAGTCTTCCCGTTAGAGCCTCTTTTCTGCCCTTACCTTAGGTCACCGATTTTCAACACTCATACATATCAAAACTACTTGAGAAAATTTGTAAATGTACTGATTTTTTTCTGGAATACTGCTGGATACATGGTGATGGGTCAGTCTGGTCTAAACCCGACTAGAAAAGTGGGTCTCAGCCCATCAAAGTATGCTGTCACAGTTTAGTAAAGGATCACGAACTCTCGCATCTGCAGGCACCAGGAATCAATGTCATAAATGGAACTGATAAGATGGGAGAATAGCTGTACCACTTGATGGCAGATTAAAAAAAAAAAAAAGCACTAGCCAATTGAGGAGTGTGATGGATGGCTTGGGCCCTGCCCTTGGGCAGGACGGATGTGTCCTCCCTCCAGGCCAGGCCTGGTGGTGTTCTTGCCACAGAAGGTGTACAGCTCACCTTTTTAGTAAAGTGCAGTGCTCACTGCTGTCTTTTAGTGTGCAGGTGGGGGTGGCTGGGGTGCATGCTCTGCTGGAGGAGTTGTGCCGGAGCTTAGGACGGACAGTGATGAGTCTCCCTTGTAGAGGGTCACTCTGAACCATGGGTTCCCCAGGAAGGTGCTAGTCGTGGTGCAGTCCTGGCCGCAGAGCTCAGAGCGTCCCGAGTCGGGTCAGAAAGTGGGGTATATGGCGCAGTCCTGCTGGTATGACTTTAGCTTGGTACTTGGGTTCTCACTGCCTAGGTGGGATGGGCAGCTATGAGCCACCCTCATCTTAGAGGTCAAAAGATGCCCTGGGGCTCTTTAAATGGAACCTAGAAGACCTGGGTTGTACTCTCTCCCCACCCCCCAGACAGGGTTTCTCTGTATAGCCTTGGCTGCCCTGGACTCGCTTTGTAGACTGGCCTCTCACTCACAGAGACCCTGAGGCCTGGGATTACAGGTGTGTGCCACCGAGCCCAGCTCTGGGTTGTATTCTTATGTGATAGCAATTGTGGGAGCCTCAGCTGTGTACTTTTCTTTGCTTCTTTTTTCTTCGCTCCCTCCCTCCCCCTTCCTCCTTCTTTCCCTCCTTTCCTCCCTCCTTTCATCAAGACCATCTCACTATATAGTCTTGGCTGGTCTGGACCTTGCTGTGTAGATCAGGCTGGTCTCAAACTCGTAGAAATCCACCTGCGTCTGCCTCCCGAGTGCTGGGAGTAGAGGCGCACGCGACCACATACACATAGTTAGTAAGGACCCCTGCACACTCACAGTGCCCTGGCTACTCCACGGTTGGACTAGCTGAAGCAGCCTCACGGGGTTTTAAGTTTTCCTAGACCAAGGGAGTCTAGATATCTTGCCCATACCTCCTTCTTGGATCCTGATATTCTCAGCTCTTTACCCTGGCATGGAACTCTGCCTCCAAACTTCCTCCATGTCAACTCAGTTTTTAAGTTCTCCTCTTTGTCCATTTAGTCCTCATCCATTTCCAGCTTCCTGATGTTATCTGTATCCCTTCAGACTTAACTGCTGTTTCCCAGAGTCACAGCCCTCACTCCTATTGGCTCCCCTCTTTATAGCAGGCTCTGTAATCCTCCTCCCCCTCAGTACTATCTGGGCCCCTAAGGGTACTTTTCACCTCTGTGTCAGTTGCATCACTCAAAGCATTCTTGAAGGGCTCATAAATGACAGCCCATCTCATGGTTCTCTGATCTTAAGTGTCTCATGGTTCCCTGATCTTAAGTCTTGGGTACCCTTCTGTGACCCCATGTCCTCTTCACCATCAGGGCTTCCTGAAACAACCCAGGCTGCCAGTCCTGTATTCATCTGGTCCCTGCTGACAAGCTCCCTTGGACTGCAGGGGGTTGGCACCCATTTCATTTGAGCCACCGCTCTGAAGCAGCATTACTGCTGTCCACCCTGTGCTTGGGGCTGAGAATGTGCCTCGCTGCAGTGAACCAGGCTGGGGGCTACGTCCAGCCCTCTTCAGGTGACATAGTGGACGCCCCCACCTTCCCGGACGTCAGGATTCCGGTTCCAGGTCAGAGTCACTGTGTTGCCGGCCTCTTCAAATAGCTGCGGGTTTGCAGGAGGTCTGGGGAACTCCGGAAGAACTGGAGGTTTGTTGGCTACCCTGGGGACAGAGTTGTCCCTGCACTGTAACCACCTGCCCAGCCTGTCAGAAGATGGAACGGCACTTTATCCTTCTGTGAGTGGTAGGCAGCAGATGTCCTGGAGTCAGAAAAACCTGTTTGTGAAGCGTCACTTTGCCATTTAATAGCTTTGTGACCTTTGACAACTTATCTCTCTTTTATGATACCCATTGCCTCATTTGCAAAATGAAGATTAACAATGGCTGCCCATTTAACAGGATTGAAGGTCAAGGGGGCACCATCTAGTTAATATTCAATAAAAGTTCATTTTGGTCTGTTGTTGGAACCTTCCAGGCCTCTGTTAAGAGGTCACTCTAAGTTTAAGTAGCTTTCTCTCCATTGGCACCTCTGGCCCCTCACCCTATCTCCTCTTCTCTCCCTGCAGATTATACTGTGTATTCCTCATATCTCATCAGATATGACTGACCGCAGATTCTGAAACAAGGGCTGTGCCCTAGGTCAATGTCTCCAGGGCCTCAGGACTCTGAGATAAGAGGGTAGAAAAGCCTCTCTCTAGTTAAAGGCTGACAAAGCCTTGCTTTGTGGTGTCAAAGTAGGCACCACTGTCCAGTCACCCGCAAAGCTTGCCCCTTAGGTTGCTAAGTAGCAGTGGGGAGCTACATAAGGGTCTCTGCAGAAGGCTTCTGCCAGCACC